TTCTTAAATATATATTGGTTAACTCACTTTTGGACAACGCCGTATTTTACAGCACATAAATGAACAAATGGTCTGTGTTTTAATAGGAAAGATCTGTTCATTCAATTGTGCGCTATACATAATTTTAAATAAGTTTGCATAATTGTAAAAATTGCAATAAAAATATTTTCATTCTTTAAAATAAATTTGATTAAGTGGTGCATAATTCATTTCTAAAATAAAGGATAATGTTATAATAAAAGTTATAGAATTGTAAAGACCTTTTTATTATTGTATTGTATTATATTTGTATTATGATCATTCGAAATTCACGTATATTTTTAAAAATTAGATTCTTAAAAAAATGAAACAAATAAAATATATAAATATATTAGAAGATAATCTGTTATTGGATATTATTTATATTAATAAACAAAATTTATTTGGCCAGATAGCTGAAGCAGTTGAGGCGTCAGTCTTTGCTCTAGAACGGTGTTATTCAACCTTTTTTATCTCACGCTACACTTAAACCTATAATTAAATTTACGCGGAAAAAACCACGTGATTTAAAGTTGTGTTTGTAAACATTCTGTTGCCATATTACTTGCCACTTAACAAATTCTTTCCGTCTTTATATTTTTTTAATTAAATAAAACGGTATTGTTGTTCCTTAAAATTGCAGCAGGTTACAACAATAGTTATTTAAATTAATAATTTTTATTTACATAGTAAAAGCAATTAACATTGTCATAATTCTCATTTAAAAGTGACATGATAAATGTCCTTAGAAAACCAGCCCAATGTCCCGCTAATTCTAAGTTAAAATAATTTGAACTAAATATGGGTAATTATAAACACATTTTTTATTTGAAAAAAATGTAATTTTAAATGAAATAACCCGGTGTTATGCTCATATCATTTTGCTCCTGAATAGATATTTTTTACAACATTATATATACGTTTATTTATTATAACAATTAAAAACTCGTAAAATCAATTTAAAAAGATTTAAATTTTGATATTTACACTTATTTTTCATTGGGCTTCTTTCCAAAATAATTTATTTAATAACCTTCAAAAATTCTCGCTGCGCAACTACGATCCTCTCGCGGCACAGCGGTTGAAAATCAATGCTCTAGAACAATGTTTTTCAACCGCCGTCCGCGAAAAACTTTTACCAGTTCTCAAAAAAATACTTTTCTGTACGGAAACTGGTGCAGTTGACTATGTGAACATTTAAATAGTAATCTAGAGTTATTGTATTGATACGTACAGTACTTTATTGCGTACAGTAACTGTAGATATGCATGTATAAATTTAATAAATAAGCATAATTCATAGTCGCATATAATTACTTGGTCCACATAAAATTAGGCATAATTTTACCGGTCCGCGATGAGGAAAAAAAGGATGAAAAACGTTACTCTAGAAGATCCGAGATCGAATTTGGGCGAGCAACTCCTCGGGCATTTTTCACTGTTTCATCATTTGGCACATGCATTTTGGCCTAACCGAACGCACAATGGGTATAATTTAAAAAGTTTCTTAGCGACCACAGGCAGAAGAGTCAAAAGTAAAAAAAAAAACAAAATTTATTTAAAGATTTATTTAATGCTGTGGTAAGAATCTCCATGAATTATAGTCTATCTAAATTTCAAATAAAGACTGCCTCCCAGGCCATTATGTATATGGAATCTAGACTATATGTAGGCCTATATGTATATGTATATATGAAGCATCAAAAATTTTATTTTTTATGTAGAAAACATGATAGAAAAGTGGTATTAAAATAACTGATAAATTAAAATTTCTTTTGTTAAATAATGTAAAATCCTACCTTAAAAAACTTAAATCTCTATATATTTTAAGTAATATTCTATAATATACGAGCAATTATTTTAATGTGACATCGTCACAATGCCGGGCTGAAATTTTTAATCATATTTTTAATTTATTTAAAAATATGATTAAAATTTATCCACATCAAATTAGTAGTGTCTTGCCCCTGTACATCATACTTTTTCTGTTAGCAACAGAGTCATGCCGGTCTTTATCTAACTCTTTTCAGAGGAATATTTTGAATTGAAATAACGCACAGTTAATCATAGATAATCTAGGCCTTATAACCATATACTTTCTATATCTGTTCTGACTTTCATGTATCTAACACCGTTCCCAAGATTAAGGAAGGGCAGACGGACGGACGGACGGAGGACAGTGAGAATTTATAGGTCTACAAATTTTTTCAAATTGCAGCCAAAAAAACTAGGTTTTAGAACAAAAGTGGGAAACCTGTGACCGAAAGGCCACAAGTAAGCCTATATCTATCTAAATATAATACAATATATGCGTATTTTTATGCATGTTTGTTGTATATATATCCTCTGAAATAGGATTTGGCCTTCTGATTAAAGATGGTTTTTCATCTCTGATCTAAATAGACAGATTCTAGGTAATAAATCGCCTTTTACTATTTATAATTTAGAATATTAAACAATAACATTTGATTGAAAAATAAATTTATTGAAAATATTTTGTTATTTATATGAATGAATGAAACTTTATCTATATAAGTATACAATTAAAATACGATAAACTATTGTAAATTAATGAACAATAATTTTCCAGATTTAGATAAATTATTAATTTATTTAAATCACTTCTAAAAGCAGATAAAAATCTGAATTTTCATCTGTTTATAGAATCAATAACAGATTTGCATCTAATTCTGCTATCATTCTAAATATAGAAATCTACCAAATTTAGTAGCAATATATATTTTATAAATAGAAAATTAATTGCTCGAAATTAAAATTCAAATTCGAGACTTCGATCAACTATTTATAAATATATTTTCATGATTTAAATTTATATTAAATGTTAAATAAGAAACCGATACGACCTTCAGCCTTAAACTTATATCTTGAATAAATAGAATCTATTTCCAACGGGAAATACACGAGTATAATATACAGTACAATAAAAATATGTTTTTTTTTTTCTTTTTATTATTCATATAGCCCATATTAGTGATATTATTTTATTTTTAGCAAATAATTTATTAAAAATTTTAACTGGGATTATTGTTAAAGAAATATGATTAAGGAAATAAATCTTGGTGAGAATAATGAAAAATGAAATAGTTATGGTTACATTAGACCTGATTGATTAGTTGATTGGTTTATACTAGGCAGCGGCATATTATAAGCTACATGATCTGCCACAATTACGCTCATTCCGACGAGTTCTGACCTACAATGGAGTAGGTTAACACGAATGAGAAAAGGGAAGATGCTCTGATCCATACTGCTTTGATAAATTATGAGAATCTGGATCTGATCAGATCAGTATCTCACGGCAATAAACTATTATCTCGAGAATGTCTAGCCGACACACAAAATACAATAGAAAAATTTTATAAATTTTTTCAAATCAGAAATGGTGGTGATCATAATTAAAATATTTCTATTAAATGCCGTATAGCAGTGTTTCCCAAACGGTGTGTCGCGAGAGTTCTCCAGGCGTGTCGCAGAAACATTAAATATTTTTTAGAATTTTGAATAATTTCATTTTTAAAACTTTCATTTATCTTTTATCTTTTTACCGCCGACCGACCGATCGAAAGGAAAAGGAGGCATTCATTACAATGCCGATTGTTGCAAAATTTACGGCATCGTTATACCCTCCTCGCAAAAGTTGCGTGCGTATGCATATGCCGACGTACCAACTCTTTGCAACTTCTATAAACTTTGCGGCTTACCATCTTAAAGACCGGTACTAGCTTTTTACGCATTGATTCAAATAGTCTTTTTATTTTTACGGTATATTTTTAAAATTGTGAGGTTTTGGTCTTGGTAAATTTAACTTTTCTATTATCACTTTTTTAAAATCAACCGTAAAAATTAAGGTACGACACATTTTGAATTTAATAAAATCAAAATGTGTCGCTAATCCAAAAAAAGTTGGAAAACACTGCTATATGAAATAGCCAGAATGGAATTGGACGTGTTGTGGCTACGAAAGATTCTATGGAGTAACGCGGTATATTTTCATCTTAGTAGAACACTAAACTCCATAACTGTCGCGTTTGGGCCATGGAAAATACTTGTTTTCTAGCAGATTCCGCTGCACTAACGTAAAGTTAATCTAATGTAAATTCACAACACATTTATTCTAGGACTATTCTTCGAAGTTAGTTCCAAGGTTTGTGGCATACACCGTGACGGCCCAGAAACGTTCAAAACTTTAGTTGACTCAAGACAACTTCTTTCACGTAAGATAAAGCCTTTCACATACAGATGCTGATTAGTGAGTACAACAGATTCTGCCACATTTTACCGTTAAAATAATGATTATCGTTCGTCTCTTTGTTCTCCCGGCAACACTTAAGTAGAAGATAGTTCCCATAAAAAGTCCTCCCAGTAGTCCCGTCCTTAGTGAATGAGGTCCAAATATCCAGGACAGATTCTTTTTAGCAAGTTCATTATGGGTCCCTACAGCAGTAAGCTCCCACATTAACCGCTCGGCCATCCTGACATATATATATATATAACCAGCAAAAAAAATCGAAAAAATAATAATTTGAATAAAAATTAAAATAAAATGTATGTTTAAACTTGGCGCACGGTGCCGTGAGTAAGTGTACGTTTCGCGGACCACATGTTTGTCTCCCACTCTCGCTAATTCACCGTGTGTAAGGGTCGAGTTATAAACTCCGTAACGTAACCGTATCCGTATAGCGTGGTTATAAACTCCGTATCGTATCCGTATGGCCGTACCGTATTCCGTAAGAAAAGTTTGGATCGATTAAACTTTTACGGTAGGGATACGGAGGGATACGGTAGGGATACGATTAAACTTTTACGGTAGGGATACGGAGGGATACGGTAGGNATATAATTAAAAAATAATAAAATATTGATCATAAACATTAAAAACATAGTTATCATCAGTTTTTTTAATTATTAAAGTTTGTATTTATGTCATTAAAACAAAATTTCAAAATATTTTTTTAATTAAGTAGAAAATATTGGAGAAATTATGATCTGAGAGATGTAAGATAGGGCCTTAAGCAAATCACAAATGCAGAAGCTCATCCCTCTCCAAACGTCATAAAAACATGTAAGTTAAAATCAATAAAACAAATAAAAACAGATTTTTTAGCATTAATTTATATCAGTTTCTCATTGTTTTTTTACCGAAAGAACTAAATTTTGGATCCCCTATGTACCCATATCCTGAGAAAATAGTCCCAATGATCTTTTATCTGGCCCTTGGAAGAAATATGAACTGGCTAATTAAATTGTATTACTATAAAGAAATTATAATTAAAACCGTAATTAGTGTAATAAGGAAATTAAGCAGTTAAATTATTAAATTTAGTTAATTTTCTAACATTTTAAAGTTTCAAAAACTTTAAAATGTTTTAAAGTTTTTGAAACTTTAAAACATTTTAAATGAATAATTAACTTTTGTTTATGAAGTCATCTCAAAAATATATTTTTATTTTAATAAATTATTATTTAGATTATCTTATTATCATATAATTCTATAAAACAACCTTTACAATGAAAGCATATTCTTGAGAATTATTAACATATGAAAAAGCCTTTTTATTCAGTTTTCTATGGATAATTTCTATTTCCTGTGATTACAGTGATCGGAATTTATTGATACTAATTTCAGTTCAAAGGAAACAATTCTTCCTTAAACAGTTGTGTTCTTAAAATTGAATTAGTTTCAATGGGAAACTTTTATTAATGATTAAAGATCTTTTCTCTATCTGAAGCACAGCCTTAAGCTGTCTCCTCCTTTGAATTGATATGCTTAGCATATTTAAAAAAGCTGGCAAGTGCTCTTGCTAGACTTTCCCGACACTCGAACAGGAGATTAAGAGGCCATTAGAGAGTCCGATAATTTTTAATTATACTAGGATATAAAATTTAAGCAGTAACAAGAGCTTAAAAGGAGTAATTTTGTTAAATTATGATAAAAAACTCCATTCAAAATATTTAAATCCAAAATACACTATGACACTAACTACAGCTTAAAATTGTGTAAGGCGCCATCTGTTACGAGATGTTATTAAAAACAGAAATTTCATATCATTAATTATTATGAAACGGCAAAAAGGCTTAATTTTAAGTGTAGAGATGGGATTTTAAAAATATCGTAAATACCAATAATGAATAAAATTTTCATTAAATCTAAACTTACTCGTGACATGACACATCTACCTTGAGTTCATTACTCCAAAATTTAATAGCATCAATCCCCTTATATACAAGTTATCATGTCAAATTTCGTTTTCTAATCTTTACCCCATCCTCAGATATTAAACAAAATAGATATCAACACACATATATATTGGAGATATACATATATACAATATAGGCCTATAGCCTATGTGTGTTAATACATATTTTGGGTTCAGGGGTCGCAAAAAGTCAAAAATAATTGACACAATTATAATACTTTTCCAAGTTACGCTATAACAGCTGGGAAAGTAAAAAGCTTTCAATAATCAAAGGAATTATTTAACAAAGATTCTTATTAGTATCGTATCTCTAAGAAATCTTTTAATGATTTTTCTTTGGTCTGAAGTTCTTAATAGCTGTAGTTTTTGAGTTTAAATACATATTTGTACAGTAAGTGCCCTTTGATGAAAAGCTTCTTAAAAATCTATATCGTGCGTTTTAGGAAGCGTTTCTTAAAAAGTTTCCTTAAGGTGTACTTCAATCATAAGAAAACAATCATTAATATGTATTTCACGGCTCTGTTGCATAAAACTTTTGTAACAAGCTTTACAAATTACAAGCAATATATGCTGAATATAAAGTTTTGTAACAAGTTACAAGCTACTAGTCTTAAACAATTTTAATTGAATAAAGTTACTTATAATCAGTAACGAGCAGCAAGTACTTGCTACAAGCTACAATTATTAACCTATAAGTCTTGAAGCTTGTAAGAAGTAGCTTGTACCCAAACCTAAGAAATTGCCCCTTTTATTCTGAAGCATTACCTTTTTTAACTATAGTCTTCTTTAAACTGAAATATAGTATCAAGAAGGATCCATTATTTATCACACGAATCCCTTAACAAAGACTTCCAAATGTTGTATTCTATAAATAGCTTTTCTTAATGAGTACTTCCTTAGATCTAAAATACGGCCTTTTAACTTCTCCTTTGAACTGGTGTACTGAATTTACTATAGTTCATTCTTCTCGCAAAAGAACTAAACTCTTCCCAACATTAAATATTATTCCAAAAGCGAAAGGACAAATAACATAAGCCAAAAAACATTTTAAAAATTTACGATATATTTCATTAATTTGAGAATTTAATTTTTTTTTCGTAGAAGTAAAAAGCCATTAACACAATCTAAATGGATCAATAACTTTAAAAAACATTAATAGAATACACTTAGATTTAAAATATAAGTCTTCTATTACAAATTTCTATGTGAAAGAATGAAGAATAATNCGATTAAACTTTTACGGTAGGGATACGGAGGGATACGGTAGGGATACGATTAAACTTTTACGGTAGGGATACGGAGAATTGACCAACTGCACATACGTTAAGTCGCCATCAGTCAATGTACAATCGGAAGTTGTGCCGGAAGCAACCGACGAAACTGACAAATTGATGGAAACGTAACTTTTGACTAACAATGCTGTTTCTGAATAATATAAAATTTTAAGATAAGAATTACTTTGGTCATAAAAAAAATAGAAAAATAATAAAATGAATAAATAATTATAGTGTTAGATCTAGCAATAACTACCGATGATTTTGCGCATGCTCACGATGGACTGCTTCGTAAACCGTAAAAAAGTTTGTTACGGAAAAGGCCTTGCGGTAGTTTATAACTATTGCTATAGATATCTAGTGTAGCAAACATTTACGAATACGGATACGGTTACGTTACGGAGTTTATAATTCGACCCTAACATACCAGTCGGTTGGGATCTATTGTTATGCAAATTTTGTGTTCCCATATAACCCAAGTTTGTCTTTATTTGTTTTAATATGCTTTTATTTTTTGTATTTTAATATTAATATCAAGTCAATATAGAATATATGGTATGATGTGGGATATAATATTAGTTCGGCTTATTTTTAATAGTTACTTTCAAGCAACCAGAAACGACATTTATTCGGCATCTTCTAGCCCCATAGGTGTCAGTTAAATAAGGGTCTACTTTATTTGTATATTATTTACATTAAAAAATTGCAGATCTCGAACGTCATTTTTCGTTTATATGTATGAACGAAAAGTGACGTTTGAGACCTGCATTAAAATACTTTTCTGTTAAAGTGGATAGTCGGTTATCAAAAAAAGTTTAAAACCATTGCAATAGGGAATAGTCATAGTCAATAGTAAGCATTAATCGTTTATCTTTTACAATATACTCAAACCTGTAAAGAAACAGAGGAGGTCCCACTTTTCTCAGTAAGCTATAATAATATACGAAAAAAATCAATTAAAAAAGTAATTTTTTACCTTTTATAAAAACAAACCGTTTTATATAGCTTTCTTGTCATGTTTTTAATGTTTAAAAATTAAATTTTAGGGCTTTCTGTAATCAGAATGCGATTCAAATGGTTTTTCTGTCTGGGCTTGCTAATACAATCCTTTAGTGTTGTATACATTAAAGAAAATCGCAAAAATGCCTTTTAAAATGTAGAAAAAAAAACACTTGATCCTAAAAGAAAAAACCTCTGTAATTTATCATCTGCAATATACTATTTCAAGTCACCTATTACACTAACTTTGTGGAAAAAAGATTGGAATCACATATCGCGATACCCCACTTCAACAAAAATTTTTCAAGAGGTTAGTCTCTTCTTATCCGCTCATTTATCATCATTGCTAACAGTCTTGCAAAATATTTTCTTTACTATAATAAAACTCGTTTAAACGCAAAACAATAAAAACGCAAAAAAGTAATTAATTGGTAATGATAAATGACACTTTAATCGCAGACAAGACTGTTTCTTTCAAGGTTGCGACTTTTTAAATCAATTTTAGATTATCTTTCTTAATTAAAGTTTTTATTTATACTGCTAATTAACAATAAGTTTCTAAACAATGTTAATATTTTACTAAAACGAAGCGATACATACAGTAACTTTAACCTATTCTTATTTAAAAACAGACATGCGGACTAGCTGAAAAAAAATATATAGGCTATATATATATACACATATATATAATATATATTTTTTTTTCTACGAGTCCGTAGGTCTGTTTGTGTATTCAAAATTAAAATTTATCATAACAAATTTTAATTTAATGCTTTTATTAAATCTTTATTTATAAATATGCCGCTTATTTTAATAAAATAAATGAACTGTACTTATGTTAAGAAAGAAAATATACACTTGAATTTCGGTTTCGTAAATTGTTCTGTTACTTTTGTATTCGGTCATGTAGTTTATATTGGTTTATTTCACGCTGGTTTAGATAGAGGAGATGTCTTATTTGGTCCGGGCTTCGGACACAGAAACAGGACTAGAGCTTGCGACAAAACTAATTTTTGATAAAAACCGGTCAATCGATTTTCGGTAAACCGCGGTTTTAGCAGAAACCGATTTAATTATTACTGTATCATTGTGTGTTACTTGCCATTTTTGACTTTTACTTGGCAGTAAGCTTAGATTTAAGATGATTCCACATAAGTGATGTACTACCAGAAAATTTCAGTGTAAAATTATAATTTATCATCCTTGTATTTTTTAAAAACAGTACCATTTGTGTTTAAATTTTAAAATTAAAATCAGCGTAAAAACTGGAGTGAATTAATTTCAAAACGATAAAGTTTTCAAATGCTATTTATTAAATTAGCATTTACTAACATCTGAAATTCTCTGGAATATTCGTGATACAGCCATATTAGTGAATCTAGCTAATATTTACTAAATTTATGAAAATAAAACATCAATTCTATTGAATTCAAATCGTTTTTTTCAGAAACCGGTTAATCGATTTCGAGAATTTCCTATTTTTACCAGCACTAGACAGAACCTGAGAACATTACTTGTTTATATAAAAATATGCTATGAGAATGATATAAACTAAAGTATCTTTTGATAAGTATAAAACATTTTTTAACTACAAGTATTTATATTATTAATTTTATTCGCGTAATTTTAAAATTTTCAGGCAGGAAGGGATGAAGTACAGTGACGTTTGTGCCCGAATCAGGCTCTATCCCTCTCCCAAACCTTAACAAAATTTAAATAAAATCAATCTCACTTCTCTCAGATCCTAATTGTTTGTTCAGTTTATTAACAATTAAACCAATCAGGTTGACTCAATTCTTTATTACTCATTTTATTTTTCTGTTTTTTCACTCACAAGTCAGTTTATGTTAATAAACAAAATTAATAAATTATGTAGCTCATATACAAAACGATTCGTTATTTAGTATTTTTTTTAAACTGTTCCTGCTCACAATGGGGTGATTGGGTGAAAAGGGCCGATACATCGACGGACCACCTCCCGAAAATATTTTTTTGTGTTTTACTCATAAAGATTAATTAATAATGATAAGCAAAAGGGTTTATAAACAGATATAAAGGATTTATAAACAGTTATATATATATATAAAAATCTGTTTATAAATCCTTTNAGTTGTGTTTGTAAACATTCTGTTGCCATATTACTTGCCACTTAACAAATTCTTTCCGTCTTTATATTTTTTTAATTAAATAAAACGGTATTGTTGTTCAATCGAATTATATTTAAAGTAATTAATGAATAACAATTTTATATCAAATTTTAATTTTAATTAATACAAAAATCCTCCAAGCATAATTTCGAATCACGTGGTTTGATTTAATGGCTTGACACGATTACATCACGTGTGTCACTTACTCGAAAAATTAAACGTTTTCGTAATTATATCCGTGTCAATAAATTATTATTTAGTTGTTCATTAAAGTAACTTTCAATCGGATCATCTTGGAGTTGCATTTAATTAATTTGCATCGATTAATTTGTATGTGAGAAAGGAGGAAAAAATGAGTTCGAGCGGATATTAAGCAAAAACTAATTTAAAAAGCAATGCTCTCCGGCTATTTGCATGCTTAATTAATTCATAAAATTTTACATAATTTTTCAAACTAATTGCGTAAACTNTTATTTGCCATAATAATTATAATTACTTTGTATTTTGATAATTTTATAATAAAATTATGCTCAAAACTTCTAAGCAAAACAAAAATCAACTCATTCTCTAATAATTATTTTCTAATTAATTCTATTCTTTTCTAGTTAGTTATCTCACATTGTTTAGTATTTCTGTTAGTTTCAGACAGTTATCTGGTAATTAGAAGAATAAAAATGCAATTAAGTCTTTTCAAATTAGCGTAATTGTATTTAGAACTAATACAAAGTCTTCTTAAAAGAATAAAAAACAAATATAATTAAACTTATTTTCACAAAAGAATAAATCTCTTAGGTCGGTTGCCAAGTTAACGTTAAACAACACTTGTGGCCGAGTGGGCCACTGAACACTGAACTTTAGTGGGCACAGTTTGCGCCTCATCAACGGACTGACCGCATGAAATTTTCTGGGTTATCTTCACGTGTCTAGCACTTGAGGAGGGATCAGCCACTTATGCTAGGTTAACACGTATATGGATTTGCTGGCGCAATTTCTTTTCATACTAAAAACATTTGCTCCAGTTACTATTTACACACGACTGTTAAATTTTCTTCACCAGTTTCATTTTTCAAGCTCTCAATGCATTGGAACGTTCACATTTTATATCTGAAATTACAAAATGCCAAAATTTTTCGAAAGAAAAATTTCAGTTGGCCATTTCTTATAGACTTTATTTTTTGCCTAACTCTCCCACACGCTAAAAACTTCATAATATCCACTATATTTATGTGTTCTCGCGCATTTCTCGCCTTTTAGAAACATCGAACGTAACATAAATATGGATGTTTTTCGTATACTTCTAAAAATTTTACATTCTTTCCTTAAGTCCACTTTCTATTAATTTTTATATTTTAAAAAGGATTCGTGTTTAAGTAAATATAACCACAATAAGTACCTAGTAATAGGCTAATAATTAATAATAAAAGCACAATTTCTAGCGTCAAAATCTTCTCATGCGCGGACTGACATGACAGTTCACGTGTCAGACGTATAACGTTTAATGATCAGCATTGCGCGTAAAAAAAGTTGGAAATTTCCAACTTTTTTAGCTTTGCATGCAATGCTGCTACTGGCGTACCAATACATGTTTACATTTTAAAATGTTTTTACTGGTGCAACAAAATTTTGCCAGTAAAAACATTTAACAGTAAACATTTTAAACAGTAAAATCAAAGTGTAAATCCGGCGGATAGCTATCAGCTAGTTCAATTTTTACTGTGCAGTCGCGTTATTAAATGCAAGAAAAACAAGAGTGAAAAATGAATGAACGAAAGGATTGAAACGGATTGGAAAATATATATTAGTAGATGTGGTAGATTCTACTATATTAATATATAGAATATTTTAATACAAGTACCTTAGATAAGATAATAATTAATCATCTCTTCGTGGTGTACTGTACTCCAAGGTGAGCCGCTATCGCCATACCTTTTTAATTTTTATATTAATGAAATAAATAATCTATTTTTAAATGAGACTGAAGGAATTTATTTCTATGGTAGAACTTTCCACTATATACGTCATGCAGACGATCTGGTACTAATACAGCAGCTCCAGCTCGTGCAACATTATAATGCAAGATCGACAAGGTAAACAATTATCTGAATTCTCTATTTTTATCGATTAATGTATCAAAATCAAAAATAATCATTTTTAGAAATAATATTAAAATATCAAATCAAGAGAAATCTTTTTACTTAAATGGACAACCTCCTGAAATGGTTAATAACATAAAATATTTAGGTATTACCTTTAATTGGAATGGAAATTTTCAGTTACATTTGAAAGCCTTTACTACAAAAATTAATCTACTAATCAACAATGTTATCTATTTATGTTCAGCTTTAAAAATTACGGATCTAAAACTTCAGATGAAAATATTTAATGTGTTAATTATCCTTCATTTTTCTACGCTAGTCCGATATGGGCACTAGATTTATGATTTTATGATCCGGAAAAGTTTCACATTACTTACCTACGTAAACTTTTTTAATAGAAAGAACAGTCCTAGAATATACCATAAAAGCTGAAACGAACAGATATCAACTATTTTTTTTTTTTCTGAAGAGATTGATCAGATTCTATTACAGATTAACAAATACGAATGACGACAATATAAAATTTTTACATCAAATTATGTGTACTCAAATCAACGATTCAAGTTCTAATACAAACACGTGGCAATATAAATTTAATAAAGTACTTTAATCATTTGGAGTTTCAAGCGCAATATTTGCTAATTCAGAGGATAACTGGAAATACAGCTATACACTAATGATGGAATCAGCATTATCACAGTCTATAATAAAGGCCTAAAATTTAATATTGAATTCGGTTTATCATCCTTGGTACTTGGAAACTCTAAATATACTTACAGATTCGAACATCATAACTGCTAATACAAACATGAATATTAAACGTTTATTAATTCAAATCAGACTTAACAAATACTCTTTATTTGTCAATAACACTTATATAGATTTTTCTAAATAATACTGTTATTGGTGTAAATCCAGGGACTTTTCATTACTTCATCTGTTTAAGGACTGTCTGCATTGGAAAAATATCGTAAAGAATATCAAATCATCGAAATAATGCATACGAACCAAGACTTAAACTATAGAGCGAGGCTAGGTAACCTAGCAACAAACAATATTTATAAAATATATATTTTTTTATTCAAATCACTAATGAGTTAAAACGCTATTGAATTAATTGAAAATTTTGTTAATTAAATACCTTATTAATTAAATTTACTATGTAAACATAATATGTAGGGTTAAAAAATTTATTTATATTTTCATAAATATTGTCTGAAAATTGTATAATTCTACTGTTGTGTTTATAGAGTTGTTTAACAGAATAATGTAAAAATACTATATGTAAACTTAAAGATAGTTATAATACTAACCCCCTGTAACAAGGTTCTCCTTAGTACAAATAAAGATGATTGATTGATTGACTGATTAATAATTAATCATCTCTTATTATAAAGTAAGATTAATCTAACTATAACAATTAACGCAAAACTAGTTTAATGAATCGAAATCGATTCATATAGCTAGTTTCAAATTTACAATCCCTGTATGACATTATAAAGGCTAATCTTTTTCAAAAAATATTTCGCCAATATTAGGATAAACTTTGTTTAAATAATCTGAACAAAAGTTATCCACATTGGAATCAAAACTGGCCAGCCATTTTGTTTCTTTGTTAATATACAGAATAAGTCTTAACCGCTCAAAATCGACCGATTAACATGGTGGCAGTTTATCTCAAAGATTTACATTCGTGCAATGTTTCAATGGTAATTCTGTAGATTAAAGTGCATTTAATCTTGAGATTAAAACTTATGTAGCCATTATATTCAATAATCTGATATACAAATTAGTGAATATAACTGCTAATTATCAGCTATTTATTTTCTTTTTCTAAATTATTAATTATTTTACAGTATTATTGATATTAAAATGTATCTAAACTAAATTTCCCCAAGTTTATAAATTATTTTACTTTTAATTAAATGCAATATTATATAATAGAATTTATAAAGTAACAATCTACGGCTTTTTGAATACAGTTCCTGACATAGACCAGGTATTACATTTAAAATACAGTACAAAAATTATATGTATTTTTCATACTTATTTTTGATGATAATTCAAGTACTATATACTATTGTCTATAGTTTCTGGTCCAACAAATTTATAACTAAATTTATTGCTTATCTTTGATATAAATTAAAGAACTATTGATATAATAGCAACGCCCACGTCTCCTGACCAGGGTGATCAGATTTGACAGGATTGGAGCTGTAACTCTGGGATCCAGTCCGTAATCTATATAATTAAACCTTATTTATGGAGTTTATAAAGAGGGGTCTAGTCTTTTAGGACAGTGTTCTGCAACCGGTGTGCCGCGGCACACTTATGGGCCGTCACATGGTGAAAGGTGTGACGTGACCTTTTACATATTCTGTTAATTTCAAATTTTATTTATATGTTTTTATCACAGTTGTTGTGTTTCTTATCCTTGTGTTTCATTCTCTGCCGCAGTACTGATGAAATACGATG